TCGTAATTTAATAAGAAAAAAAAATTAAACCTCATGTTTACAGTTTAAGCCAATCTCTTACTATTGGGATATGTCTATGCTGCATTGACAACCCAGGCTCTGACTCAGATTTAAGCCCAACCCTGCCCTACTCAAGACCTGGGCCTATGGACACACCCAGGAGGGTGGGTCTGAGCCTAAGTCCCGCTGTGACTGGGGTCCAAGCCCTGTCATTTTGTGGTGTGGATGCAACTCAAGCCACAGATGTGAATCAGAAAGTCTGCGTTGTGCAGTATGGACACTTTAGCACGGTTGTGAGCCCCGGGTCCAGCAATTGTAAACCCAAGTTTACAATGCAGTGTGGATGCATGGAAGCATGACTCCACAAGCATGGGTCCCACAAATCTGGGTTTAGAATGCAGTGTAGGCATACCCTTGGAGACCAGGATTAAACCTAATGTGTGGAGCAGATTATCCCACACGTGTCAATTGTGGGGTTCTTACACCATCCTCTGAAGCGATTGATACTAATAACTGTGAGAAAGGATGCTTGGCTAGATAGAGCTTGGGTTTGATCTAATAGAGCAGTTCCTGTGTTCCAAGTAGATTAGTCTTCTATAGATTCCCCTTTGCCATCTATCATTTTAGTACTTAAAGGAATTCCCATTAGGAATGTTACTCTGTGAGGTTTTTTTTTATCCACCCTTATATTCAGCATGTTGCATCTGTAACAGTTTCTTGGAAAAAAACTTCTAGAGAGAAATTTCTGATTGTTGACACAAAATTCCACAAAACGAGTTCCATTTTCACCACATAACTTTTCCAAAGCAAACAGCTTTCTTTCCTGTGAACTGGGAGGTATGAGGCTGTGGAGTTTTGGAGCGCTGTGAATCCCAGTACAGCCACTGGAGTACTGCTTCCTCTCTTCTTTCCTTCCTCCGGGCTTCCTAGGGCTTTATTTTCTGTCAGAGGGTCATCCTTTTGAATGACTGTCAAATACTCATGCAGGTGGCAGAAATAAAAAAGAAACAGAGCTGGGATCCGTCATGAGCGCTGGCGAGGTGCATGTTGATCAGAGATGGTTGTGTAGTCAAGACAGAAGTTGTGATTGGGGGCCTATGGAGTATGACAACAGTTGAAACTCACAGCTTTCTTTAATAAAAATGACTTCTCAGACCACAATACTAATAGGAAACCATAGCATAGTGCACATGCTATGTTGCTAGGATGGTATTCAGGGTGAAAACAACCAACACTGGTGATCACTGACAGATTGAAGACTGTTGTTAAAAATATATGAATTAAGGTCATAAATATGCCAGTGATCACTAATGGTCCGTGGAGCCCTTGCTGGTGCACTGTAGGAGGAAAGATTGTGAAAGATCTTTTAATCCATCTTCTGGCTTGTGTCTGAACCCTCTCCAGTTGATCCACGTTCTTCTTGAATTGTGGGCACCAGAACTGGACAGAATGTTGCAGCAGTATTCCAGCACTGGGGCCAAATGCAGAGGTAAAATAATCTCTCTACTCCTTGAGATTCCCCTGCTTATGCATCCAAGGATCATATTGGCCATTTTGGCCACAGCACCGCACTAGGAGTTCACATTCAGCTGATTATCCACCACAATTCCCAAATCTTTTTCAGATCATTGCTTCCCAGGGTAGAGTCCCCCCATTGTGTAGGTATGGCCTACGTTCTTTGTTCCCACATATATACATCAATATTTAGCTGTGTTAAAATACACATTGTTACTTGAGCTCAGCTTAGCAAGTTATCCAGATCACTCAAGGACAAGTCACTGATACCTTCATTATTTACCAGTCCCCAAATTTTTGAGTCATTTGCAAACTTTATCAGTGATGATTTTATGTTTTCTTCCAGGTCATTAATAAAAAGATTAAATAGCATAAGGGCCAAGAACAGATCCCTGCAGGATCCCACTAGAAACACGCCCATTCAATGATGATTCCCCAGTTACAATTACATTTTGAGACCTATCCGTTAGCTAGCTTTTAATCCATTTAATGTGCGCCATGCTAATTTTAAACCTTTCTAGTTTTTTAATCAAAATGTCATGCTGAACCAAGTCAAATATCATATTAGAAATGAAGGGGGCAGAGTTCCACAGTGTGAAACTCCACAGTCCGCATTTGACTATGTTTTGTGTAGAAAGTTCTTATGAATATATGCTTCATATCCACTGTTCTCTTCTTATGTGTCTGCCGTTCTTTATGGACTTGCTAGTTTACGCAGAAACTTTCTGGGAGGTTCTCACTCTGGAACATAGGATCGGTTACAAACTATTGCCTGTAGTTTCCCAGGGGAAAAGATCCCTTCTCCCATCAGTAAACAAACAAACAAAACACTCCTGATGTCCTAGATCTAGCAGTGTGTTTTGTCCAGTCAGCTGAACTTTTGGTCCCACTCACACTATGAATGTGTACATTGATGTAAAAAAATTAGAAATAACACGTTTGTCATGATGTTTAATGTTGTGTACTCTGGGCTTAATCCAGGAGACTTGGCAGGTGAGATTTTTGTGGTCAACTTGAGTTTCTTGACAGTGGAAGGAACACAATAGGTGCCGGGGTACAAAGGAGGAAACAACCTCCTCAGATGCCATACTCCTAATGCCTCATCCCAGGAGCGAGATTAACACTTATAGTCAGAGTGACTTCCTTCCCTCCCAGCCATCCCTCATCATCCTTGAGAAAGAGAGTGAGCTACTGGTAGAAAGCTGATCTTCGGATGGGGTAGTGGAAGTTTACATCTCTTTCCTTCTTTACCTAAAAGTGTTCATGCCAGAATATATCAGCTGTATGGCCTGGAGATAATTATTTTAAATATAAATCTTCAGGAAGCGAGTAAGATTTTAAATGAGTCTTCTGTAACTCATTGCAAGACTGAGAGAAAACATCCAGCTTACAATGAAGGTTCATCTAGTGGAGAGCAGTATATCTGACAGCTGACCTTGCTCCCCTTTCCATCTTCCTATGAGACTCATCGCATCACTTCTGCAAACAGGAGCCTCCTGATTCAAACAACCAATGGTCTTTCTTTGTAACGGTGTCTCTAGCTGCCAGATTCCCTCTCTTCACACCTTTGAGTATCAACAGTTGAGTCCAGAAGTTCGTTTGTTTTTTCTTTCACTGTTCTCATTAGCATTTTGTTAATCATTCTGACTCTGGCTTTCCTCCCTTTTTCCCTCCCAGCACTGGGGATTTCAAGGTTCAGCTTGCATAACAGGTAATAGCAGGCATTTCCTTCTCCTGTGTCGGGATATCCTGGCGCCCTTCAGTCTCTCTCTGACTGTATTTAAAACAGACTTCAGCACAAGGGTGGAAAAAAGCCCAGTCTAAAATTAGCAGCCTTGATAGAAGAAAGGCACACGGCTGTCCACTGTACTGTTTGTCAATGAAACAACAAATCTAAACAGAGCCAGAATGCATTTCCTGTCTGTGGAAAACAGGCTGAGCTTCGGAAAGGAGGGGAGAGAGGCAGAGAAAGGCAGACCTCACGCCAAAAGGAAGAAAGAACTGGACAAAAAGCATCCAAAGGTAAAAGCAGTGTGCTGTGCTGCTGATCTCACAAGAAGAGGCTGTGTGCAGATCTTGCTCTGCTAAGGCTGCAGTTTTGGATCCTGGCAGTGTTGCACCAGTGCGTGGGGTCCCACTGGACTCAGAAACTGAGTGTATTACAGCTTAAACTAATATGTCTCTTTGTGTATCATACAGTCCCTTCTCCTTATTGGGCCTTTGATTCCCATTAGGCTTGAAGAGGTGTCTCAGCAGTCCTTCACCAGTGGTACTGCAAAGACAGCTGAATTATTGCTGTGAGAACCATCATTTTGAATTTTCTGGACTAGTCTCTGACCTTACTTACAACAATGTAAACACTCTCCTTACAATGTGTATTTTTTCATGGTCTGTGTGTATATAAATCTCCTCACTGTATTTTCCACTTTATGCATCCGATGAAGTGAGCTGTAGCTCACGAAAGCTTATGCTCAAATAAATTGGTTAGTCTCTAAGGTGCCACAAGAACTCCTTTGCTTTTTGCGAATACAGACTAACACGGCTGTTACTCTGAAATGTAAACCAAGAATCACTGCAGGGGCCTCAGTGCATTTACACTGGTTTAGAACTACTACTGTAGATTTAAACTGAAGTAAAGACTCAGGCTCTGGCCTTAACATGCATTAATACTACATCAGCATGTTTTTTTCCATTTTAATTATACATTTGGGACGCAATCCTGCAAGCCCTGTGTATGGAACTCCTGTTCAATGACTGTTCTTTTTATGGATGTCTTGATTGACTTGTGTAGTAAAGGAAAGGATTAATGTAAAATATTTATGATTTGATGCCAGTGGTTTCACTGTGGAGAAGAGATTAAACCATTTCCCCCTTTCCCCACTGGATTCTGTATACAGTTATTATCCATGAGAATTACTGTGGGAATTTCATTTATAACTGTCAGTGTTGCCAGAGTGCTTCATTCTGCAGTTTGTAGTTTTATTTACTAGTTATTCCCACTCATTGCAATCTGGCAGATCTCCCTGGACTAAAATTCAGTCAAGTAAAGGCATATAATCACACTGCAGTATGACTGCAGAAATTCATTCTGTTCTATCTTTACCCTTATCTATAGTCCCTCTAGTATTTTTAGTCCTATTAAATCTTGAAGTTTGGCTTCCACTGTTTCCTTGTGTTTTGCCTTCTTTACTAATGAGAGCTATACAGTGGCTTGTTTTCTTGGTTGACTGAGGATTTATTTAGATCTATTCAAGAAATAATCTCCTGTTTGTGTTCTGTAGAATCTCGTAAATCAGTGGGCTAATATGAAGAGAGAGCTTTTAAGGGATGGTAAACATCTTTACTACTGAAGAGACCTACTTTGGAATTCAAACCCTATTGCTTTTCTGTTTATTCTGAAGAATTTGTAAAGCAGAATACTCTGCCTGTCCTGATCTAGATAGAATTTACCAGGTCCATCTCCATGTGCAAAAAGAGGTACTTACTGGCAAGTTGGAACACGGCAGCTATGGCTTCCTCCCACCACTGGATATCCTGTGAAATAATAGGCAGTTCTACTAGGCCCAAGATGAAAATGAGCTGACCAGCAGTCAAGGCGACGGTAGCGATTAGGTTACAGGCCCTCATCATGTCAAACTGCACTGTGGAGGATACACAAAGACTGAGTAAGAGCATCATCTTAAAATAAAATCTTAGGGTTTAAAAAGCAATACCCCACCGAGAAGCTAGGGCAGAGTTGCCAGCCCCTGAAAGAATGCTTCAGAAGCTGCATGTCTGCTAATTTTATCTCAATTTATAACAAACTCTTACTCTGATCTACATTCATGATTAGGCTATCTAAGAACAGGTTGCCTTTCAGTTACACAGAAATCTGCCTTGTTTTCAGGGATAGCCTTCCAAAAAAGAATAAACATTTATCCTTCTGGTTGCTTTCTAAAAATTATAAGCACAAACTCTTTGGGGGCAGGGACCATCTTTTTGTTCTGTGTTTGTACAACACGTACCCACAATGTCTGTAATACAAATAATAATGACTCCCAAAGCAAGTGTGCTGCTTTGAACTCATTGTCTTTCTCCCAGTTAATAATGTTGCATTTGAGACCAGCTGATGAGCTAAAGCCTGCATCTCCCTTGTTTAAGGGTGATCTACAGGTAGGGTATTATGGGAGGGATTCTCAACTACTAAAATTTGCTCCCTTTCCTGGTCTGTCAGAGCCCAGATTTATTAATTTACCAGGCACGTTGCAAAACTCCTCTTTTTCTGGATGCTTGAGCAGGGAGTCAGTTGAGGGTAAAAGGGCAGTTATTTGTGGGGTCGTTGCAGTTTTCTTGTAATACAGTGTATGTTGTGTCCAGTCATTGATATGTGTATGCAGTTAGATCTATAGTTGTACTGTGCAGTATTGTAATATTTACATATTACAACATACAGCACAAATATAGAATTAATCATGGCAATAAATATTTGGAGGCCAGGATAGGTACTTAATAGAAATGAACACATTTCCTAGCTGGTCACTGAATAGACTGTATTCATTGCAAAGTTTACTACTTTTAGTCAGGTTGATGGTGTTTTTCTTCTTCTTTTCCTGTTAGCATGATGGATGTCCTGTTTTCATCTTTTTCCTTCCTTTCTAGCTAATGGTGGGCTTCATAAATGTTATTGTACCAACACAACATCCCTTGCCTAATATGCCACTGCTACTCTGAAGTAGGAAGGGCTTGCCATGTAAATGGCCGTACTTTTTAAAGGAAAATGTTTACACTGGCAATAAATGCAAATCTTCACCAGAATTGTCAAAGGTGACATAGCTGATTATGGGTGGACAGTGTGGGTGCACGAGATACTAGGATCTGAGATTTCCTATGTGATGAAAATGTCATGGAATGGTTAATTCTCAGCTATTGTTACACTCTGTTACATTTTCCCAGGCTTTTTTGGTAACAAGATTCCATGATTTTGTAGTGGTTTGTTCCCAGGTCTCACCATTTATTTATTGGGTTCTGAGAAGTATATGCGATGTGTGGTGCCAACACTCTACATTACTATGGAATGAAACTAGGAAATTTGTTGAGAATGAACAATACTTAGTGGAGTCCATTCAAACATGAACCTCTGTGAAAGGCTTAAGTTGGGTTTAAAAAAACAGGTGCATACCAAAATCTATTAAGAAATATAGTGAAACCCTTAAATGAATGCCCAAGAAGGGAATAAACCTGTCAAAAGACATAAAGGTAGCCTGCACAGTGAAAAAGTGAGTTTGTGCCTCTTTGTTTATTAATACCCTATGAAGAAGACGTGAAAAAGTTTAACCCACAAAGGGGGTGATTTTTTGGGTTGTGTAAGGTTTTTTTTTCTTCCTGTTTGTTTTTATTAGAAAGGTAGATCTTGTCCACAGGTACCAGCTTCCTCCTTGCCCTGGGGGTGCTCAACCCCCGCTCTGCCCCGCCCCAGGTCCCACCCCACTCCACCCCTTCCCCCAAACTCCTACCCCACTCTGCCTCTTCCCGCCTCTCCCTCTGCCCCCCCCGCCTCTTCCCCACTGTGACGTTGCACTCCATATGTTTTATGGAAATATGCTTATAAGTGTGAATATGATGTAACTGAAATATGCTTAATGCAAAAGGTCTCTTGTAAGGTAGCTTATAATCTACTGAGTATGTTCATCCTATTTTGTATGAATGTATCATTCTTGTATCTGAAGCTAGAAATATGAAATATAACTCTGAGGTCCTATTGTAATTATGCAAAGTGTGGGCCATTAATGGTGGTTTGGAAGCTTGATGGCTCCCATTGACTAGGACATTGGTTGTAAATGGTCTGTTTACTTGCAAACCTTCCTGGGTGTGTGCGGGCCAGCCCTGGAAGAATGAAGGCTGGGGTCTCACAGGACATGTGACCATGTCACCTGGTAATGAAATCCATCTTAAATCTGGTACTTTTCCATTTAGAAGGAGGGGTGGGGACTCAGATACACACAAGATTTCTGCCTTGTGCCAAAGATATAAAAGGGGGTGGAACAGAACAAAGGTGCTGTCAGTCAAGAGAAATCCCCTAGTTACCACCTGAGCTGGAACTAACAAGGACTGTACCAGAGGAAAGGATTGGGCCCAGAATAGGAAGGAGTCTAGTCTGTGAAAGAAGCTTATTGGAACATCTCTGAGAGTGAGATTTTACCTGTAAACAGTTTCTTAATGTATTAGGCTTAGACTTGCATGTGTTGTTTTATTTTGCTTAGTAACTTACTTTGTTCTGCCTATTATTACTTGAAACCACTTAAATCCTAATTTTTATACTTAATAAAGTCACTTTTGTTTATTAATTAACCCAGAGTAAATGATTAATACCTGGGGGAGCAAACAGCTGTGCATATCTCTCTATCAGTGTTATAGAGGGCGGACAATTTATGAGTTTACCCTGTATAAGCTTTATACAGAGTAAAACAAATTTATGTGGGGTTTGGATCCCATTGAGTACTGGGTATCTGGGTGCTGGAGATAGGAGACCTGCTGAGCAGTTTTTCTTTAAAGTCTGCAGCTGTGGGGGCATGGACCAGACCTGGGTCTGTGTTGCAGCAGGCTAGCGTGTCTGGCTCAACAAGGCAGGGTTCTGGGGTCCCAAGCTGGCAGGGAAAACAGGCTCAGAGGTAATTCCAGTACGTCAGGTGACAGTCCCAAGGGGGTCTCTTTGACTGAACCCATCACACCCACCTCTTCCCGCCCAGTTTCTCCCCTTCCCCTGAGTGCGCCCAGTCCCCACTCCTCCCCCTCCCCCCAGAGCCTCCTGCATGCCGCAGAACAGCTGATCGCTGTGGGCGAGAGGTACTGGGATGGAGAGGGAGGAGTTGATCACCAGGGCTGCTGGCAGGCGGGAGGTGCTGTGGGGGAGGTGGAGGAGCTGGCTGCTGGTGGGTACAAAGCGCCCACTAATTTTTTTCCATGGGTGCTCCAGCCCTGGCGCACCCACGTAGTCAGCATGATCTTGTCTACCTTGTTTTTCCTGGAAGAATCCATGGATAATTGGAGAACTAATAGCACAAGTACTAAGGAAGTGAAAACCAAGCGATTGAGAAGGAAAGGGGATTTTAGTCAGAATATTTAAAATTTTGTTTTTGTTTAATTATTTGATTAACATCTATTTAACCCAAATACCTTTCAGCACCCTGCAACTTCAGTCATAGTCTGAGAAAGCTCCCAACCTGTTCCTGATCCTCCAAGAAGACTTCCAGCAAAATAAGGAAGACAAGACTTAATATTTTTGGTATTTGTAAGACAAATAAAAAATAAGCTTTTTTTTAAAAAAATAAAGCCATTTAGATCTTCTTTTGAGTTATAAAAATGCATGAACCCACTTTTTCCCATGTAGGTCACCTTTAACTCCCTGCACAGTAAGTAATATACAATTGATTGCTGACATGTTAGTGTTAGATGTTAAGAGCCATACACTGCGAGCCTTACTCAAGCTGGAGAACCTTACGTCTTGGAGTACCATTGAAATCAGCCAGTTCAGTAGGATATTAGCAGAATATGGCCCAAAACACATATAGGTTTGGTTTTCCTGATTAATCCATTTCTGAAAGCAGAGGAACCTTCTGTCATTCAAAAGTAAGGACCAGTCATAGAGTAAATTTTATGGTAAGACTTGTTGCTAATTTTGAAAGTGCAGTTCCTTAGTAGTGGGAGCACTAAGCAGTCTCCCCACAGTGAACATGAAGTGTCATGAAGTGCTTTGGGACACACTAAAACCATCATCAGGCACCTGCTGGGCTTTATAAACATCAATAAAACTTGATGAACGTTCGAAGTATCATACCTATATCATAAGTGTAGACTATGGCTTTCTGAGAAATAGCCTTTTATAATATTATAAAGGCCTTTAGCTTGTCTGGTGAGTTTGTAATTACTGAATCTGGAAACAGCAAATTCACAACCATTATTATTACAGTCCTTTTTTCTTGTTTAACTATAGCACTGAACCCAGAGGGTACTTAGTTCACACATAATAAATTCTGCTGGCTTGTCCTTGGAATGTGTACTAACCATGGTCTGAGAAACACCAGATTGCTATATTTTATAAACTCCAATTGCTCATCCCTGGTATTTGTAATGCCCATGAGTAAGGCTACAATTTAGTCACGGGTATTTTTTGTAAAAGTCATAGAATCATAGAATATCAGGGTTGGAAGGGACCTCAGGAGATCATCTAGTCCAACCCCCTGCTCAAAGCCCCCTGCCCAACTAAATCATCCCAGCCAGGGCTTTGTCAAGCCTGAGCTTAAAAACTTATAAGGAAGGAGATTCCAACACCTCCCTAGGCAACGCATTCCAGTGTTTCACCACCCTCTTAGTGAAAAAGCTTTTTCCTAATATCCAACCTAAACCTCCCACACTGCAACTTGAGACCATTACTCCTTGTTCTGTCATCAGCTACCACTGAGAACAGTCTAGATCCATCCTCTTTGGAACCCCCTTTCAGGTAGTTGAAAGCAGCTATCAAATCCCCCCTCATTCTTCTCTTCTGCAGACTAAACAATCCCAGTTCCCTCAGCCTCTCCTCAGAAGTCATGTGTTCCAGTCCCCTAATCATTTTTGTTGCCCTCCGCTGGACGTTTTCCAATTTTTCCACATCCTCCTTGTAGTG